TTAGTAAATATTGTACATTAGAATTTCTTTTTTTATATATTTGTAATATCTCAGAATTTTTTTAAAGAATTTACTCGGATAGTTAAGCTTTTAAATTAGGGTACAGAAAAGAAGTAAATAAATAGGTCTTTTTAAATTGTAAATTATGTTCATGCACAGTTATAAAATCATCTATAGTCTTTTATTTCAATGCAGAGTCATCAAAGTATACACATTCAAGATAATATTAATTTTAATGTAGAATCTGAGAATCCTAGACACCAAAGAAACAATTGTCGGCATAATAGGCAGCGTATTGTATTAAAGGATGGAAGAAATCTGGTACTGGAATGTCCTATACCTTCAGATTTGTTGGATGCCATTTCTAGGAAAGACTCAAGAGAATTTACTCATATGAGATATACTGCATGCACATGTGATCCAAACAATTTTAGAGAGAAAGGATTCAGCCTTCGTCAAGCAGAGTCAACTCGTCCAAGACAAACCGAACTATTTATCGCGATAACTATGTATGACGTAAGAAAATTAATCATTATTTTTTAATCATAGTAATATTGTAAACATTAATATAATTACTATTGTAATAGGAAAATAAAGAACTGTTATCCCGCACTTTTCACGGAGTTGTACAAAATATAGCTTATCTTTGTAGTCGTAAAAGATCTAAAGTTTGGGTATTTGCACAATACATTATAATATACTTTAAATTTTGCAAAATTATTTATATATTATATTCAAAAAATTTTAAGGGTGAAGATGGATGGAAGAAAGTCATCGTATGCATAGTTGCTGATGGTCGTGAACACATCTGCCCAAGTTCTTTAGCTTATTTAGCGGCTCTTGGTGTCTATCAAGACGGCATTGTAGTGGGCGCAGTGAAAGATGATGTTGTTAATGCTCACATATTTGAGTATACGACTCAAATTTCAATCGACCAATCTATGAGCTTTAAGTCGTTCGGAAATGACCCTGAAGTTGTTCCACTTCAAGTACTCTTTTGTCTTAAGGAGAAGAATGCTAAAAAGATTAACTCTCATCAATGGTTCTTTAATGCCTTTTGTCCAATTCTTGATCCTAATATATGTGTTCTTATTGATGTTGGTACTAAGCCAGGTTAGAAAATAAGAAGCTGTTCTTATAATTCTTTTATATATCAATGATTTATCTTGATGTTATTTATTTATATATATACGATATTTGCTTTACAAGCTCCCAAATCTATTTATAAGTTGTGGAAAGCGTTTGATATAGACCCTCGTGTTGCAGGTGCTTGCGGTGAAATTATTGCCATGAAAGGTAAAGGCTGGAATAAACTATTGAATCCAATTGTAGCCGCACAAAATTTTGAATATAAGATGGATAGCGTTCTGGTTAAACCATTTGAATCAGTGTTTGGTCACATTTCTGTTTTGCCAGGAGCCTTTTCTGCTTATCGGTATATCGCTCTCCAGAACAGAATGGGTCATAAAGGAGAGAAAG